GCTCCAATGTGTACAAAATTGATCAAGATGTATGTTATTCTCAAAATATACATTTGCAGATTTGTGTTTCTTCCACATGAGCAGCCACAACCAAGACATCAGAGTTCGGTCCTCAATTCTGTCTCCTTGGTTCCCAAAGTGAGTTCATGGAGACTTGGAGGTCCCATAACCTTTTAAAGGATTGTTTTGACAATAACAAGATACAAGTTATCTTTTCCTGTGGTGACATTTGTATTGACTGTAGAATAGACGGTATGTATCTTTAACTGGTATTGTATGAAATAGATGGTATTGAATATTTAACTGTATCTTTATCTTAAAATCTGGAAAATTTATGCCTGCCACTGTGAGCTTGAAAGGGTGGTGGGCAGCAGTATTAGCAGATGTGGTTGTACCTCACATTATTTAATGAAATGCTCTTATCTATATTTGGAAGAGCCACATAACTCAGTGAACAAGTATTTTCAAGGAGACCAATGTATTATGTCGCAAAATCATATGGGTAAAATTTCTATGAACAGGGCATTGAAGGACAATGGGTTTTATGTAACACCACAAAACAATCTACTAATAAGTTCCCAGGTCCCACATTGTAACTAACTCTTGGATATTGGCTGTAGAAGGGTTTCCATGATCCTCTTATTTACAAATAAGGTCACTCCAGAGTTGGTTAATGCAGGTTAATTTGGTCTTACAAATGTCAATACATTCTAGTCTGTACATTTTTTGAATGAAGGAGGACACGTCTCTAAGATATGTATCTAGGTATGAAATGAATGCCATGTATGCTCTTTATCATAATCATCATCACTGCGGTGGCTTGGAAGAAAATGGCCTCCAAAGAGAGTTGCATTATTAAGAAGCGTGACCTTGTTGAAATAGGTGTAGTTTTGTTGGAGGAAGTGCATGGCTCTGGTGGCAGTTTTGACATCTCATATGTGCTTAAGATAAGACTTCATATCTCAGATCACTTCCTGTCGCCTGCAAGATATAGGTCTCTCACCTACTTCTCCAGCACCATATCTGCCTGCATGCTACCATCTCCCACCATTGATGATAGTCGACTGAACCTCTCTGAACTGTAAGCCACAATTAAATGTTTTCTTGCTGTGGTTATGGTATCTACTCACAGTGATAGAAACCCTAAATAAGACTAACGTTGGTACCAGGGACTGGAGTATTACTGTGATAGGCTGGACCATGTTTTTGTTTGGAATAATAACAGACTTTGGGAGGCAAGGTTAGGAAAGAAGTAGAATATGCTTTAAGGCCTGCTTCATGGGCCATATTAGGAGAATGGGAGACAGCGGTGCTAAGAATTATTTGAACTAGTTTGCATTCCCACCAGGAATGGATGAGTGTACCCCTTACTCCACAACCTCTCCAGCAAAAGCTATCATTGTTGTTTTTGTTTTTAGGCATTCTGACAGGTGTAAGATGGTATCTCAAAGTTGTTTTGATTTGCATTTCCCTGATCGCTAAGGAAGTTGAGCATGACCTTAAGTGTCTTTTGGCCATTTGAACTTCTGTTGAGAATTCTCTGTCCAGTTCAGTGCCCCATTTTTTTAAAAAAAATATTTATTTATTTGTTTATTTATTTATCTATTTATTTTGTATACAATATTCTGTCTGTGTGTATGTCTGCAGGCCAGAAGAGGGCACCAGACCCCATTCCAGATGGTTGTGAGCCACCATGTGGTTGCTGGGAATTGAACTCAGGACCTTTGGAAGAGCAGGCAATGCTCTTAACCGCTGAGCCATCTCTCCAGCCCCAGTGCCCCATTTTTAATTGGGTTGATTAGCACTTTAAAGTCTACTTTCTTGAGTTCTTTATATATATTGGAGATCAGACCTTTGTCTGTTGCGGGGTTGGTGAAGATCTTCTCCCAGTCAGTGGGTTGCCTGAGGGCTGCTAAGCCAAGAACAATGGCACTGGGTTTTGATCCTACTGCACATAGTGGCTTTGTGGGAGCCTAGGCTGTTTGGATGCTCACCTTCCTAGACCTGGATGGAGGGGGAAGGACCTTGGACTTCCCACAGGGCAGGGAACCCAGACTGCTCTCCGTGCTGGAGAGAGAGGGGGAGGGGAACGGGGGAGGGAGAGGGAAACGGGAGGGGAGGCGGGGAGGAGGCAGAAATTTTTAATAAAAAATAAAAATAATAAAATAAAAAGAATTATTTGAACTTTGGAGGGCTGGCTCAAGAGATTTCAGAGAAGAATATTAATATGTGGTCTAAGGATTGTTGTGATATTTTGGTAAAGAATGTAGCTGCTTTTTGCTTTTGTCCAGAAAGTCTGCCAGAGGCTAAAGTGAAGAGCTTCCGATCAATTCCCATGGCAGACAAAAAAATTTCAAAAGAGCCTAGTATGGACTAGGTGGGTATTGGTGGTAACTCTGCTTAAGATTTATAATGAAAAAACAAACCGAGCAAATAAAAAAAACCAAAACCTACAGATTGAGAAAAGGGGCACTAGTAAGTGAAATAAAATTAAGTCCTGTGTTCAAGGAAGTAAACAGATTAAGAACAATGTAAGGGGAGGAGCTCAGTTCTGCCTCAACTTGACTTGCTATGCTTTGTGCAAGCCCATGGGAGGCCTGTTCCTTTCTGAATGGAGATGGAGGAGGAGTGGGTGGGGAGAGGATAGATGGGAAAGGGGAGGGAACAGAAGGATGGGGAAGACAGTAAATGGGAAAGGAAATGGAATAGGAGAGGAGGGAGGGAAAATGGGCTGGTATGTAAAATAAATGTAAAATGTTATTTAAATTAAAAATTGGAATAAAGGAAGTGGTGACCCCAGAGTAAGGTAACATCCAGATAAGTTTCCAACTTGTGGAAAGGAATTAAAGAAAAGATTGGGTGTGATAGTATACAGCTTTAATCCGAGCACTAGGAAGGCAAAGGCAGGCAGATCTCACCCAGCTAAGTTTGCAGCTTCTGAAAGAGATTTAAAGAAAAGCTTAGAGCCTGGTGTGGTGGGGACACATCTTTAATTCCAGCACTCAAAAGGCAGAGGCTTTCAGATCTCAGAGTTTGAGGCCATATTAATCCACAAAGAAAATTCCAGAACAGCCAAGCTTAGGCAGCAAAGGACAGAAAGCTGGTGAAGATATAGCTGAATGAAGGGGCCATGTTTCAGTTCCAGCAAGCAGCAGAACTTAGCAGCTCTGTTTAGGGTCAAAGAAAGAAGAAAGATATTGTAGAACCTTCTTCCCCAGAGACTAAGAAAAGTTGCTGAGGCCAGGCATGTGTCAGGGGTGTCTCTGAACGGAGGCCAAGGGACGCCACTGTGTGAAGGAGTAAACTGAAGCCTGGATTGCCTTGGAGACCCCAAGATGCTGGAGATGCCAGAACTGTGGAGTGCCTGCTGAGGAGACCTGGTAGTAGAGCAGGACCAGGATAAGAACATCACAGTCAATAGAGCTGAAGATCTGAAGAGCATTTTCATATCAGACATGGAATTGCAGAGTTTAGAGTTTGCCCAGCTGGTTCTCGGTCTTGCTTTGGTCCAGCATTTCCTCTCTATGCTCCCTTCTGTCATTAGGAATGGTAATGTATATCCTGTGCCACTGTATGTCGGAAGGACATGATCTGCCTTTTTATTTTGATTTTACAGAGGATTACAGTTAAGAGATTGCATGAATTTCAGAAGAGAGTTTGAACTTTAGATTTTAAATAAGTTTAAGACTGTTATAGACTATGAGGACTTCTGAGGTTGGACTGAATGCAATTTCACATTATAATATGGCTACAAGCTTTTGGAACAGGGAGTTGAAAGCGGTAGTCTGAAAGAAAATGACCTCCACATGGAGTTACACTATTAGGAAGGATGGCCTTGATGGAATAGGTATGGTCTTGTTGGAGGAAGTGTGTCATTATGCCAGTGGCACTGAGGTCTCCTATATGCTCAAGACACTGCTCAGTGTCTCACAACACACGCCTGTTGCCTGCAAGATGTAGGACTCTCAACGACTTCTCCGGCACCCTGTCTACCTGCACACTGCCATGTTCCAACAGGATGATAACAGACTGATCCTCTGAACTGTAAGCGAACCACCACAATTAAATGTTTTCTTTCAAGCTGCTGTGGCCATGGTATCTCTTCACAGCAATAGAAAACCTAACACAATATCTAACTGTATAACAAGCATTTTTCTACGTCTCTTTAGTAAAATTACTGAAGTCAAAAAAAATTTAACACTACCATCTTTAGACACCATCCAATTGTCCCCAAATTTATTTTATAGTAAAAAATTTCAATCTAGAGTCAGGGATCATGTTAGTTGGTCACACTCCTTTAGTCTGAATTGTTACAGATTTAATATAACTAGGAGGGAAAAATCAAAACAAAGGACAAGCCTGGCTGTCCAAGGGTTGGAAAAAACCCCAGACACGAGCCCACATGAGCTGCCGTCTTTCGTGGCACGAGGAGTCACCAGGGGCACTGATCAAGCTTCCAAGGAAAGCTTTTCACACAGCACTAGATAGTTTTATAAGAAGCACTATAAAGACCATAGTGACTGCCATGTGGCTAAGTGGAACACACGGGCACAGCTACTGGGAAACAGATCTCATTCACTAGCTAAAAAATTTTGTCTTCTCTCTCTTCTTCCTCTTCCTCCTTCTATCTTTGACACAGTGCTTGTCATGTAGTTCAAGATGGTCTCCAAGTGCATACCTGGTGCTCAGGGAGGCCAGAGAAGGGCATCAGATCCTCTGAGACAGGAGGTGCAGACCATGGTGAGCTGACATGAGGGTGATAGGAATTGGTCTATGGGTTCCTGGTCCTCTGGAAGAGCAGTTAGTGCTCTTCACCACTAAGCCATCTTTTCAGCCCCTCTGTAATTCCTAAGGATTCAGGACCCTGAAGCTTGGTTCTTCCCCCTTAAAGGAGTGCAACCTCAAAGAACTGTTTCCCTCTAACAGTGAGTGTTGCTTAGGCCAACTGCTTACATTATATCCTTGCTCACAGCACACAGAGATCAGACCAGACACAGCAGTAACTTCAGGAAAACATTGATTATAAATATGATTAGGTGTTTAGATGAAGAACAGGAATGAGGCACCAGAGTCTTTTAAGTAGAGTTTGGAAACACAGAATGATGTAATTTCTGAAAGGAATCTATGAAGGTTGTGTTGTTCCCGTGAGTCTGATCTGCCAGCTCTTGTCTCCACGCATTCATTTCCAGCACTGGGTGGACCTGTCCTATAAGCAAGGCACTCAGAGCAGGAAGCCTGGCTTCCCAGGCCAGCTCTGCAGAAGGCCTCCGCGTGCAGATACAGTATTTGTGTGTAGCACCAACCCTCGCTGTGTAGCTACTGGACTTCTTCATGGACGAAGAGCCCTCCTTGTCTGGAGTTTGGCTTTTCCCCTCCAAGAAGCTAGAGCTCCAATGCAGCAGCCATGCAAAGGATGAGAATTCAGCCATCCCTCACCACAGAGCTGGCGGCACTTAAGAACCAAGGCTGTCATCAGAATCCATGTTTGTGAGAGGAAGGACCGCCTCACTGCCCTGAGGAACGATACCTCCACAAGAACACTTCTCTAGAAGAAAATGGAATGTTTCCAACTGTGCGTCAACTGTCACTGCCACTACAGACAGTGGGGTTCACTGGACTCTGAGAGCTTAGGATTGAGTCAATTAAGGGAGGCAGCATAGCTGTCCCTCCACTTCTCAGCCAGGAATATGCTTCCACAGGTGAAGTAATACGAAATTCATTCATAAAGTGATGTCTTTCCATTCAGTAAAGTTTAAGCAAATGGGGATGTTAATGTTTTACTCAACAATTTAAAACACCTTTCCAAAAATTATGTGCTGGGAGATTTTCAGAAAGGAAGAATCATAGAGTGGCTAAAGCCACCACGAATAGCATCAGTGGTTCACCGCCTCCTGTCCATGGCGTTTCATTAGAATAACCACACGGATGAGCTGCTCCATGGCCGTACAAATCTGACGTGGACAGTCCGTCCCTCCCTTCTGGCTCTAGAGGAGGCTGCAGGGACTTGGCATTTTAGGGCTCAGGAAGAACCTGTTGGCCATTCTATAATGGGTCAGAGTCAGGATCCTTCAGCAACTCTGTCTAGTGAGTTGATCAATGTCAGGCAAACTTGATTCTTGGTTCACTGCAGGAGGATCAGGAAGACATGCTGATGACCTCAGCCAAGACCTGTACAAAGTCAGAACTGATTTTCCCCAGTACCTGAAGGAAACCCAAGTTCACTGCCAGCATCCTCTGCTCATTCCTCCCTGCAAACTGGATGAGGAGGGTGAGCTTCTCTGTCTTACTCATTTCACATGACTGACTGCCCACCCACGTTCATGGGTGGTTTCTATTTTCTAGGAAGTGTTTCATAATTTCATTCAGGACAATCTATTCTAAAGTGATAATCTGGTCAGAATCCCCGATATTTAGATTCTCTTCAGCTTGTAGAATTGTGTTGGGCAAACTGTGCTGGGCAGTGCTGTTGGGCTTCTTGTGAAGAGAAGAATCCTTGTGGAGGTCACTGTGTCTCCTGAGTCGGGGAACGTGTGGAATGAGTCATCAACTGTGCTCACTTCAGTCTTAGCACAGGGAGCTGAGCTCTGGTCGTCTGCAGCCGAGGGTCTCAATGTCCTTTTCAAGCATTTAGATTAAACATTATCACTAAACAGGGAACACCTACGGCTTCTATGTATTTAATGTAGGTGTGTTTTCCCTGAGCCAGTGTTTATATTTTGGGCAGTTTATTATTCATCCAGTCAGCAACTATGGCAGCCACCTCCTGGCTGAAACCGAGGACAAAAGCATGAGATATTCCTTTCTCACAGAGTCGGATATCCCCGCCTGGGAAGTCTTTCTTCATGTCTTCATAATACTTCACTGGACACCAGCCATCTGTTTTACCGTAGTAAAACGTCAGCTGAAAGACAAGAAACACCATTTTATCCTCCCATCCTTTCCTGAGAGCTCTCTGCCCCACTTTTAAGTCACATGGTAGCACTGGCCGAGGGCAGAGGCTGAACCACCTTGCCCTGCCACCGCTGCCCACCTTCTTCCAAAGGCCACAGTGTGGTTCACAACCAGTATGCTCTGCCTGTGAACAACTGAAGATTCCTGTGGACCCAGAGCGATGTTAAGATTCAGGCCGGAAGCAGCACACAACTGCTGTTTCCAAAAGCTTGGGCCAAAGATGGTCACGGCAGTTTAGAATTTCCCTCCTAAGTGAGTCTGAAATGAAAACTTCCAGTTGATAACCAAAGTCACTTTTCTATGAAAGAGACAGGCGTCTCCTTATAGTTTAGAACAGTGACAGACTCAGGGAAAGCTGACCTACCTGTCACTCCAGATACACCTGGGCCTAATACAGCACAGAAGAGACCAGGGTCCCACACAAGCGAAATGTACAGGTAGGTGATTTTCTTCCCTTGGCTTCCTCTACTCCAGAGCTCACCTACTGCCCCTCCCTGCCTCTGTCCCATTATATTCACTGGCTCCTCTGTCCACAACCTCAACCTGAAATGCCCAAGCATCAAGCTTCAGATGGCTTCTTTCTTTATATTACAGACTTCTGCAGGTGGCCACGACGCATGCTCACAGCTATAGGCCTGTCATGCCACATGCCAAAGCCAAACTTGAGCCCAGACTCCTCTTTTTAAGTCTCACAGCACACACCTGGGCATGTACTTGCTGGGATATTCCACAGGTGTCTCATACACAAGCACCAACCACTTCCTACAACCTGGGGCTACTTTCTCATCCTCCCTTCCTACCAAATCTAGACCAAGGGCAGCAGTCTCAGGTTCCTTCACCCCATCTGCTAATGCCCACCTGCACGAAGGGCCTTTGATTCCTCCTCGTGAATCTTTTCATCCACAACCCCACTGTGTTCGTTCTTCTAAAAGCCTGTAAACAGGCATGCCACCTAAAACGTAACTGCTTTCCAGTATTGTCCCGACACTTTCCCCCAAATTATCCCTCCCATGGGGTAATCTCACCACAGTTTTAGGGATAACTGATACATACTGGGATATCTGAATGGGCTGTTGGCAGCTGCTATATGTTCCGATTGGTTAGTGGCTATGTCATGTAGTTTCCAAATATTCATAATATTCTCAACCTTCCTAATACTGTGATGCTTTAATACAGTCCCTTATTTGTGGTAACCCCCAACCATAAAATTATTATCATAAGTATAATTTTGCTACTGTTCTGAATCCTAGTGGAAGTATCTGTGTTTTCCAGTGGTCTTAGCCTACCCCTGTGAAATGGTGGTTCAACGTACAAATGCATCATGATCCACAGGTTACAATGGCTGCTCTTCCCTTATTTTGTTTTGTTTGGTTTTTTGAGACAGGGTTTCTCTGTAGCTTTGGAGCCTGACCTGGAACTCACTCTTGTAGACCAGGCTGGTCTCAAACTAACAGAGAGCCACCTGTCTCCGTCTCCCAAGTATTGGGATTAAAGGTGTGTGCCACTACCACCTGGCTGAGAATGCCTGTTCATGATGCTGTCCCTTGCTTATGATTTAAGAAGTGTCCAAGCCAACACATTAGGCTAACCCAGCCTCTCTTTCCCTAAAGTGGGGCTTTTAATGAAGCCTACAGGCCCCACAGGTCCAGTGTTTTGGACTATAAATTTGTTATATACCCCTAATTATAATTTAATTTTCTTTCAATTATACAGACAGTCAGCTATCATATTACTAAAATACATATAATCAAATCATAGTAAACTTACTGTAGATGACTAAAAACTGAATTACACTTATTTCTACAAATTCACAGGAATAACTCTATTACTAGATACTTAATTTTAATTAATTTTCAAAAATGTGTGCCTGTGTCTGTGTGTGTCTGTTTGTATGTGCATGTGTGTGTGAGTGTGTGCCTGTGTCTATGCCTGTGTGTGTATGTGTGTGTACATGTGGGTGGAGATGCCCACAGACGTCTGAGGCATCAGATCCCCCTGGACCTGGAGATACAGTGGTTCTGGGTGGCCTGGTGCAGATGTATAAACTGAACTTGGGGCCTCTGCAAGAGCAGCACTCACTGCTAACCAATGGGCTGTCTCGCTAGCACCTGTTATTAATCCCTTGCTCTTCAATGTGCTGATAAAGATGCTCATGGTACTATATCACAAATTAAATTGAAATGTATTCTTGGTAACTGTATTTCAATATAATCTATATTCTACCACAGCTTCCTGATGGACCTGTCTTTCCACCCACTACCTAGCACACATGTACTGATGGTTCAGCAGAGACTATGAACTGTGCTGGACCCTCAGATGGAAACCACAGTTCCTTCCAGCAGGAAGGCTCATGTACACCTGTGTGACAATTGTGACATCCCAACTCCTACAGGAGCCAGGAGGGCCACAGGAGCACTGCAGCTGGGGAAACGTCCTGGAGATGGCAGTGGGAGCCAAGTTTAAGGAAAGTGGGACTTAGCCAGGTGAGGAGACAAGGTAACCTCTGACGTCACCGTCATGCTACACTTTTTAGGAAAGAGCTATGATGCTGTATTTTCATCTGGAAAGAGAAGCAATTGCCTACGACAGGGAATGTGAATCAATACAGCTGACCATTACTGGGCATAAATTCTCCAGATCGTCCAAGGAAATAGTTGCCCTAGACATTTCAGAGTTAATTGTTCACTTTCCCTAAACATATTAAAGCACCTCTTTGTGTGAACAAGGAAACCAATGGCAGAGCACCTGACTGTGACTTCAAACGTAAGCCTACTGCTCAGGGTAGAAGAAGGGTCTGGGAAGTTTTTGGCACGGTGTGGTAGAGACTAGTTTTATGCTAGATTTGCATGGCCTCTTGGCTAGATGGTACACAAATATTCTTTATGTAATGGTTTTGAGTGGAATAACTGAAACAAAGGGAAAGGTTTTTGCATCTATGATGGCTCAGAAACTTCACGCTGGGCAGTGTGAACAGGCGCAAAGGTTCTGAGTACCTCTTCTCGGTGGAAACGGGGAGCGGGCATCCTTGAACACACACCTAAGGCAGAGGCATTTGCAGTCTCAGGAACTGGGTTCTCAGCTTTGACTAAAACATCAGTTCTCAACCTGTGGGTTGTGGCACCTTTGGGGGTCAAAGGACCCTTTCACAGAGGTCAACTAAGACCACTGGAAAACACAGATTTACATTACAATTCATAACAGTGGTAAAATATAGTTATGAAGTAGCAATAAAAAGAATTTTATGGTTGGGGGGTTGCCACATCATGTATTATGGGGTAACATAATTAAGGAGGTTAGGAACCACTGGAATAAAAGATCTCTGGACGAGGGGAGGCAATGCCCACCTTCCTAGGACTGTGTGCCTTAACTTCCCTTCTTTTCCTAAGCTGACAGGGACATATTGTTTTAAGTCACTTTATTAAAATTAAGTTGCAGCATGTTTCCTCCCTTTTTCCTTATGTAACACGAAGTGCCCATACATTTCCTGTCTCTGTATTCGCTTAGGAACGCTGAGGAACCGGGATGACCCTATCTGAGGGGAGAGCTGCTCTCTGGCTGGTGGAAGGTGTTTCAGTGAACTGACTGAGACAGGAATGGAGCTGCACACCAACAGGAAGAACAGCACTGGACACGCCTTTAATTCTCCCCAGCATTTGATGTTGTCGTCTTAGAAACACAATTATTCCCTGGAGTTGGCGAGCTCCATCCTGAGCCTGTGCTGATATTAACCTTGAAATGTTGACTGTCTAGCAGGCACTCCGGGTTTCTCTCGAGAAAGTGTCAAGAAACTTCCAGCCCTGCCACAGCTGCCCCAAGCAGACCTCTACCTGGGAACGCATGGGGTTTAACTCAGCACAGGAGTGAGTTAGCGCCTTCTCTGACTCTTCCTGACCACAGCACACAAACAGGATGCAGAAGGAGTAGTACTGTTCAGCAGCTGACTTCCCCAGGGGGGAGGGCCGCCTCTAACAGGTCAGTCCTGTCATCCCCAAGTGTGAATGTTGGAAGCATGTGTCTGCCAGACTTACTATAAAGCAGGACTTGAACTGTTTTTACAGACGTCCAAGCTGGAGAAGTATATTGCATCTTGGAAACAGACTCGCTTATAATTTAACTACAAAATAAAATGCTGTTTTCTGGTCATTTCATACCCTCAGTGCTGGAGTATTTCAGAGCCCTGGACAGTAGCAGGTCCTCCTTGCCCAACCTGCTCCAGTCAGCGAGTAACAGCTGCCTCTTGATACAAATTTCTATCTCTAGACAACTGCTGCTTAGGAAACACGATGGCCTCTAATGTGCTGGTGATATGATGACGTAACCATAACGACATAAACCAAACAGATCCTGGCATTTCCAGGTAAATATGTTCAACACAATGAAATCTTTTCTAAGCAATGTATGTAACGCTTGCTTCCTGAAAACTGCCTCGGGGAGGAGTTGCAGAACTGAAAATCAACACTGTGAATGAGATGCAGTCCGGTGTCTCACAGTGTGAAGAAATTCTCAGTGCAGTAAGTATTTCTACCCATCACCTGACAGCCTGCAGCCTCGAAATGGTTACCTTAGGTAAAAGTTCCTTAATGGCTTCATCATCTCTCTTTCTCACTTGTATCATTTCTTGGCTCCCGAGGTAGGCAGCATTTGCTTCATTGGAAACAAACAAAGAAACAAACAGTTAAACACATAGACTATGCAGAAGAAACACAAACGTCAAATGAATTTTATCAAGTTGATATGATTCCTTTTCCTAGAGGCCACGCGCTATTTGACACCAGACACTGTGGGTCTAAAAGCTATACATGAGCTCTCTGGCAGGCTTGCAAAGCTGAGGTGTGTTTTCAGAGCACTATGTCTGCTAGGTTCAGCTAACCTTGGGAGAGGCAGCCCACCCTGGACAGTAAGGCCCCAAGACACCAGGGCACCCTGGGGAATAAGAACAGGACCCACAGCCTTCGGGCAATGAGTAGGGCTGCACTTGTGTTCATCCTTGCATGGCAACCGGGAAACTTCAAACAACAAAAGAGATAATTGTAAAATTTACTTCATTGATTTCTCTTTTCTCAGAATCCCTGCTTTTCACTTCAACATCCGCTGTCTTGAAAGCTTTTGCTTTTACATTTTATTTGTTTTCTCAGTTATTTTGGGCAAGAGGGCAAATGAAGTCCTTTTTATTCATCTCAGAAGTGGAGGAGATATGTGAAGTTATTGCCATTTGAAATGAAAATCCACTTGAGATTTTCCCAATCAAGATATTTGGAAATAAGCAATTTATTTGGTTGCTACTTTTACAATTGGGAAGTCTTCATTAAGAGACGACACTTCATGTCTCTGGAAACATCTGGAGACAGACGCATCTCAGCATCACAAGGAAGACTTTGTGGTTCCGTATTACAAATTAAATTCAGAGATTGTTTTTACCAACACTGGCTAATGTTTGGGTATTTCTAGCCTACAAAAATTTATTATAACAATACTGAATACGAGGTGCTGAGTCACACCTTTAATGCTACAGAGCAGCAGAGGTCAAGTCACACGTGTGACCTTGGGAGACTCCTCCGTGGCTGCCATGTGTTGGTCAGGCCTTCTCACAGCCACACGAGGCTTCATCAGTCATCACACATTCCCAGGTGGCCTTTCTGCCGTCCCCACGGGCTGGAGTGTTATCAAGGTGGGGGTATCAGATCAAAGCTCCTATTCCTAGTAATCTATACTTTGTGGGCCAGGGACAGAGACTCCAGTGGTAATAACTTTGCTATGTAAGCCAAACTACCATAGGCTCAAACCCCAGCTATTTACTCTCTGAAAACACCCGAAAGATCAACCTAGCATCCTACCCTCCCTCCACTTGAAATCACCTCAGAGCCTGGTAGGTACCAGATAAGAGATCACCCAGAGACTTCAGAAAATATAACAGCCAATCCTAGATCTCTCCACCCAGGTGCCCAGCACCCCACAAAATAGGCTGTGGGTCCTCTGTCCTTTCTACCTCCTGACCTAATAAATAGAGTGCTTCCTTGTGGGGACCTGTGGTGTGGCATGTCCCCCACTACTGGGAGCTGTAAGCAATAACCTCTCCTTTGAAAGGCAGCTGATTATAAGTCTATCATAGCTGATGGAAACAGTTCTAACTGTGTTCTGCATCAGGGAGACAGGGCATCCGGGAGGGTGAATGCAGCGGCTTAGGTGGAACAGAGCAGAGGAGAGAACTACAGTAGCTGGAAGTTCCAGAGATCTACAAAGGGTATTCTTGAGATGTAACTCAGTACTGACCAGCATAGTCATGTGACAAATAGAATTTAGGGAACGAAACTTCAGAAGGGATTGCCCGGGGTGGCAGCACTGAAATGATTGAATATTTTTGTGTATGACATTTCAGAACCTATAAAAACAAAACTGTGAGGACACTGCAGGGCACCCCTATCTAGACAGGGCAGGATTTATAATCTACCCCTTGGACTAGCAAACTTCCTCCATGTGTTTCCATAAGATTTCTCCTGCAGCACAGACATTACATAATGCACAAACACTGCAAGGCAGCCTGCAAGTTCACCCAGCAAGTTAAAGGTCATCCTTTGAAGGGCAACTGGACACAGAGCAGGTCGCCAGCAGGAGGATGTAGCTGGACCACGAGAAGTACTGGGAATGATTTCTGACCTGAACTTTTGCTAAGTCTACTTAACCACACCACTGAGGCGGCCCCTATGAACACTGGTTACCTTTCTCCAGGGCATGTCTTAAGAGCATTGTCCTTTCAGGAAGTCACCAAAGGCATGACCAGGTGGCTGGACTGGGGTAGCTTCTGTGATGATTATGGAAAGAGGAGGCAGTGGGTACTGGAGAGCCAATGGAGAAAGGGGATGTGGTGGTCGGGATGTCTGGACACTTGGTTAATGAGCAGCTCAGGGTTTCTAGGTTCAACTAAACATCCAGGCAGAGGAGCCGGGGACTAGAAAGGATGAGAAGTAGTTCTTGCTTCCTTTCCCTGTAACCAAAGTTACACTGACTGGAAAAGCTGAGACCAGCGAAGTACTGACTACCTGGATATTGTTAGTCCAGACCCAGAGCCAAGGAGCAGAAGACCAGATGAAGCGGCACACCAGCAGCAAGCCGGCCATGTGCACAATACGTCTGTTTGTGATTCAGTCATTTGAAGCGAAGATGAACTTCCTTCTGGTGTTTAGGGTCTATTTTGAAGATGGTGATTTGACTATGGTTGGGGAGGAAGCTGACACAACGCGGCTGGAAGGCACTGGTTGGCCTTGTCTAGAGCGGGAGTGTGCACTGTGGTTGAGCTCCAGCAGAGGCCGCTGGAGCACGTGGCTGTGGGGGGGAGGGGGCAGGGCCTTCTTCCTCACCAGTGACTTCAGGGGTGTTTCTCTAGGAAGAAGTTTGTGACTCTTGTGTAGAAAAGACTAGAAATATCTTACATAAGCACTTGCTTAACAAAAATCAAGTGATTGTATATGTATTATATATTCACTTGATATAAAACTGTCATTTAATTATTGTATCTAGAATTTATATACATAACTGAAAGATAAAAATTTTTTACGTTCCACATCCTGATCTGAGGCCTGCTTCTGGTCACCAGTCAGCATGGTGCACAGACATATGTGCAGGCAAAACACCCATACATATAAAAATAAATAAAATTTAAGTCGTTTATAAATACTAATAAGTCATTATTGTCCAAAAGTACAGAATAGGAAAACTAATCACTGATATATCTGAAAGTATAGACAGCGGAGATTCTAGTACTAAACTATGTTAGCATGGTGGTGTTTTCTCTGTCATAATTTAAACTCTTCTAAATTGATGGAAAAGATGAGCATCAATATGTAACCCATCCCCTCACCAGGCCGTTACTGCAGACAGTGAGCTGCAGGCCATCTCTGGATTCCCAAGGACTACACACAAGCTATGTCCTGTACTTGGCTCATCTCCCCATGCTATAGCCACAGTGTGAACCAGGAGCCGAAGGGAACATTAAAGCTCCACGAGATTTTTATATCCGGTTATCATGAACTCCCTTCGCGCAATCTCAAATTCTAGTCTCAGATTAAGTGTGGGGTAGAAAAGGTCAAACAGAAAACGGCCCGTTGCTCACGACCTGGCCAAGACAAGTCTGCACACACTTCCTTACACGACAGCAGCCACGCACCTTGAAAAGCATGCTTACCCAGGCAGAATGGTTGAAGAAGGTTCTCCAAAGGAATTTCACAGGTGAAGCTCAGTCTTTCAAGGGCTTTTTTGATTAGGAAGGACTTTATTATTTGTGGACATGGTTTAAGTACTAAGTAGCCGGTAGCATAGAGCGCATATCGAAACCAGCACAGAAGTGGGGTGGCAATTCTGCCGTTGGGCGTCTCGGCCATCCGCTCAATAGTGGGAAACAGCAGAAAGGAGTGGATGACCTACAAGAAAGAGACACATTTGCATGAGAAGTTCTCTTACAGAATAGCCCATGCTTGCCTGTATTTCCTAGAGTCTCCTGACAGTCACCAGGCCTAGAACACTACTGGAGACGTGGTCAGATCAAACTAAGCTGACTGTATTCTTACCCCCATGCTAGTCTATAGGGAACCTAAGTGCATTCCTGGGGCACTGGGGCCAACTACAGGAAGGAGGAAGAGTGACAGACACTTTCTATATCAGGATGGAAATTCACCATTCATTGAAGGATTACTGGGAGGAGGAACCAATGGTCTGACCTGACTTGGTGGGAGCAGGGCCACACAAAAGGCTCCACTGCTATGACCATTTCTTTACTGATTAGACTTGGAGACAGTTCTTTTTTCAGCGTGGGTTTCTCTTAACTTCAATTTTAACTTTATCTTAAGGATAAAAGCATCAAACTGGCTCAGTCGGGAAAACACAGATACATCCAAATGCTTCTGCTGATGAAAATGAATATAAGTCCAACCACTGGTTATTACTGAACTGTGTGAAAATGACTTCTATAGGAGATCAGAAAAGTCAAAAGAGTTATGCACAATCTATTAACAGAAATATACATGGGCACCTCAGTAATAGTAAAAGATCATAGAACAGGAAAATAAGAACAGAGGCTATCAATTAAGTTTCCTAACCTTTTCTTTACATGTATGGGTGTTTTGCTTGCATGTATGTCTGGGTACCATGTGTACACAGAAGCAAGAAGAGGGCATTGAATCCCCCTGCGGCTTGAATTCCAGACAGTTGTGAGCCATGATGTAGGTGCTAGGGATAAAACGCAGGTTTTCTTAAAAAACAAACATTGCTCTTTACCATTGAACAATCTCAGCAGCTACACCTTAATTTATAATTACATTAGAAAAACAATTTAAAGTGTGTATGCACACGCACGTGTGCACCAGGGTGCACATTTGGAATATAGAAACAATTTGTGGGAGTCAATTTTCTGTTTCCACTATGAACTTGGCACCAGTCCTGTTTTTTTTTTCAGTTAAACAGAACACACGTACAATGAGGCATGTCAGATATAAATGTGCAACCCAGCAAATCACTGTATAGCAAACAGCAAGGCAGCAGAAAATAAAACGAGCACAGCCTGCCTTGAATCTCCAGCCACAGGGCTTCCTTCCGGTCAGCACCCATCACCTCATATGGCCAGTTCTTTTCTGTTCCACATCCACACCCACCGTCCCTTCACAACGAAGAGTCTCTTGGTTAATGAATTTTACGTACCAGCACACTTTTATTCAGCCTCATGTTTATAAACGTCATCTTTGTTTACCTTATCTTTGCTAATATTCTACTATATGAATATGCAAACTTTATTCGTTTCCCTGACGGAATTTCAGTTGTTTTCAATCTTTATTCAGATCTTAGTTTCTGCTCCAGTGCTTTCGGTGTGAAGAACCTAACGCAGTTCTTGCAAATGGTGGGAGTGGCCACAACTCTCCTCAGTTGTTTCTGTCTACAGGGTTGTTACTTTCCCTCAACCTCTGAAGGATTATCACACAGGGGAGAGATTCCAGACGGTGGTTTTCTTTTTTCTTTCATTTCTCCTTCTCCACACTAAATATCTCACGCCTTCTCTCTTCCTGTCTGTGAAGATTCTGAGGTGGAAATGATTCTAGCTTTTGTTTCTCGACAAGTAATGTGTTTGTTTTTTCTCCTTGTCTCTCAGAATTTCATTATTTTTTTTTTTTTACTTTCTGTAGTTTGGAAATGCATGCCGACTTGTAGCATGTTTTAGGGAGGTGTTAATCCAGTGTGGTGTCTACTGAGGTCCCTGTGTCTCTCGTGTGGTGTCTGACATGAATCTAGTTGCTATCTTTAACAGTTATTTTCTGTTTCTTTCCCTGCTGTATTCCGGTTCTTTTGTGGAGTTCTGCACTCTTCCCATACTGTTTTGTTCTCTTTGCTTTTTGACTTTCGAGGTTTCTTTTTTTTTTTTAAAGATTTATTTATTTATTATTATTATGTGTACAGTATTCTCAGTATTCTGTCTGCATGTATGCCTGCGGCCAGAAGAGGGCGCCAGATATCATTACAGATGGTTGTGAGCCACCATGTGGTTGCCAGGAATCAAACTCAGGACCTTTGGAAGAGCAGGCAGTGCTCTTAACCGCTGAGCCATCTCTCCAGCCCTCGAGGTTTCTATTGAGATATCTTCAAGCTCAGAAATTCTTTACTTACCATATTCAAGTTATTCACACACCTAACAAAAGCCATCTTCATTTCTGTTACTAGTTTTGATGTGCAGCATCCCCACACCTCCTAGGAGTCCCATATCTGTTCATGTTGCCCATTTGTTCTATTAGAACTTTTAATTTGTTCATCACAGCTGCTCAGATTCCTGGCCGTCTCATCTCCACATCCCTACATATGGGTCTGCAGCTCACTCCACTGGTCAAGTTGTGCCTTCTGCTACTTAGCATTTCCGGTAATGTTTTTCCTGCCAGCTAGACACAATGTGCCAGGGAAATCAGCTGCTGCCAGTGTGGTGCTGGTCACACCGTGCTCTTGTGTCGTTCACAGCAGATCTGTCTCTGCTTTCTGCCAGAAGTGCACAGGGATAATTCTACAATGTCCACAACAAGAGCCTGGTTGAACTCTTAGGAGACAAATCTCAAAATTGTACAGTTCTCACATGTCTGGGACCTCCTGGAAGCTGTAAACTTCAGAGCTCTCTACTCCGAGCCCTCAGTAACTAGCCAGCCACTACGTGGCTTCTCCATCCTGGACATCTGACTCCCACAAGGTTTCAGCATGTGACTCTCCACTCTGATAAGCTGTCACCCCTTATATGTCCCCATCTCTCACACGGTCTTTGATGGTCGTCAAGCCTACTTGGCTTTACATGGACCTGGGCATCTGAACTTGGTCCTCATGCATACAATGCCAGTGCTCCGCCTGCTGGGTCCTCTCCCCAGACCACTTGCTTTTTAAAGAGCTGTTGTGTGAACTTCTTCCTGAAGAAACAGGAATCAATATCTGCTCACCCACATAGGGCACCCATCCCAGAAACAAAGAAATGATTCCATCAGGGAGTTTACCCGGAGTAACTCTCAGAACTGTCAGCAACTTACGGGTCGCTACACTGTTAGGACAAACTGTCTTCCCAGCAACTGTTCATTGTTAAACCTTCGCAAGGGGCTGTGGCTTTGTGTGTCCCTTCCCTGCACTGTGATGGAGAGTTAATGAGCTCAATTCTGTACACGTCTCCTTCCAGTAACCACAGCTGCATCCTGTGCAATTGGACAATGGCCACATCATGCCCCGAGGACAGTGTGCCACAACAAACGTTATCCTGACGTTGCCTTAGTAATGCAACTTTGTGGCTTTGATCTGTATGTCCCTGGTGACCAGGGATGTTGAACACATTTTCAGATATGTATTGCCAATGGTGTTTCCCTACTGAAGACAAATCGAATCAGGTTTTTGATCATTTCTAAAGTGGGTTTGGTCTTCTTATTAAAAAAAATTGTATTTTGTTTTTATTTCTTTATTGTTAATGGAGGAGCATACCACACAAAGTGGACCTATGTAGATTACAACAAGTGGGAAGGAGTTGGTTCGCCCCTTGCACCACGTGAGACTTGGGGATCCACCTCAGGTGGTCAGGGTGAGGGCCCCTTACCCAAGGAGCCAAGGGCTCACCTGGTAATTCTTTCCAGTTACTGTTCTTTCTGGGGTTTTTTGTTTTGTTTTGTTTTGTTTTGTTTTAAGAAATTGTTTTCTAACACCGAATCAAGGAAAGCAGTGTGGTGGTTTCTCAGGAAATTTGGGATCAACCTACCCCAAGACCCAGTAATACCACTCTTGGGAATATACCCAAGAGATGCCCTATCATATGACAAAAGCATTTGTTCAACTATGTTCATAGCAGCATTATTTGTAATAGCCAGAACCTGGAAACAACCTAGATGCCCTTCAATGAAAGAATGGATGAAGAAAGTATGGAATATATACATATTAGAGTACTACTCAGCAGTAAAAAACAAGGACTTCTTGAATTTTGCATGCAAATGGATGGAAATAGAAAACACTATCCTGAGTGAGGTAAGCCAGACCCAAAAAGAGAAACATGGGATGTACTCACTCATATTTGGTTTCTAGCCATAAACAAAGGACATTGAGCCTATAATTAGTGATCCTAGAGAAGCTAAATAAGGAGAACCCAAAGAAAAACATATTGGCATCCTCCTGAATATTAACCTTCATCAGGCGATGAAAGGAGACAGAGAAAGAGACCCACATTGGAGCACCAGACAGAAATCTCAAGGTCCAAAGCAGGAGTAGAAGGAGAGAGCACAAGCAAGGAACTCAGGACTGCGAGGGGTGCACCCACACACTGAGACAATGGGGATGTTCTACCGGGAACTCACCAAGGCCAGCTGGCCTGGGTCTGAAAAAGCCTAAGATAAAACTGGACTCGCTGAAAATAGCGAACAATGAGGACTACTGAGAACTCAAGAACAATGGCAATGGGTTTTTGATCCTACTGCACGTACTGGCTTTGTGGGAGCCTAGGCACTTTGGATGCTCACCTTACTAGAACAGGATGGAGGTGGGTGGTCCTTGGACTTCCCACAGGGCAGGGAACCCTGATAGCTTTTTGGGCTGATGAGGGAGGAGGACTTGATTGGGGGAGGGGGAGGGAAATGGGAGGCGGTGGAGGGGAAGAGACAGAAATCTTTAATAAATAAATAAATAAAAAGAAATTGTTTTCTAACACCGAATCAAGAATGTGTTTTTCCTTCAAAATGTTTCTTTATTTTAACTGGATGGACTGGCCCTTATCTTCTCTACAATGTAGGCCCAAGCCTGTGGCTATATTACATCAGTTGTGGGTCTGTTCTCTGACTTCAGATATATGTGAATGTTTGACCATTTCCTATGTATTTTAAATTACTTTCTGAGTGAAATTAACACACTTTCCTTGAGGGTGGGTTTCTATCTCTGT